TAATATTAAAAAAAAAACATTTAAAACCATTAATTTCCATTCTTATTAGATGAAACACCTTGCATCCACAATTAAGATGGAAGCTTTGCACTTTTTGGACCGTATATTTAGGTGCCCAGCTTCCATATCAAAAACGCAGTCAAATCAACCGGCTATCAATAAAGTGGTTACTTGGAAACGATTGTTTTATCGTAATACCTCAACTATTTTTGTTATTAAGAACCCAAAATGTCATTGTTTTAGAATTAGAATCTTGAAGTAGTAGGGCCGGCTATTTAGCCCCAGGGGTAAGCCTAAGTGATATAACATTATTGCTTGTTGGGTTTCGGGTATGAGTCAGGTCCAGCTGGACCTAAACCCAGATCCGAATGTATTTGGATCCAAGTTTTGGACCTGGACCCGATCCATCAGGTCCAAAAGTTGGACCCATATCGATACCCGCCGGGTCCAATGTTAATCCCGTTGGGTCTTGAGTCAATCCCGTTGGGTCTTGGGTCTAGGTGGGTCCATTGCCACGCTCATTATGAGCTTCTTCTTTTTTTTCTTTTACTTTACCATCATATACCCAAATTATTGACAAATGGCTACAATCACCTATCATTAGATTTCAAGCGTCTTATTTGTCATTTAATAGCTAAATATGATTCTGAGTTTTTATTGTATACGATCCTTAATACACCCAAATGAATAGGGCTTGAAGTATTTTATCGCCAACAGTTTACGAGTAGAGGTCGAGTCTAATCAGACCCAGACCCAGAATAGTGTTTAAGTCTAGGTTTTGGACCCGAACCCGACCTGCCGGGTCCAAATGTTGGACCCATACCCGGATCCAATCGGGTATACCCGGTAGGTCTTAGGTCGGGTCTGGGTCCATTGCCACCAAAAATGAATTTGATCAATAATTACTAGATCATTTTAGGTTTTAAGTTCAAAATTAAGTATATTTATGACATTTGACTCAAGTGGCCCAATTAGCGAACTCAAACGACAAAAACTGCCCCCACCCATTCCTACTTTAAGCTAAAAAAAATTAGGGTATTTTAAAAACGACATTCGACTCAAGTGACCCAATTGGCCAAATCAAATGATAAAAACTGCCCCCACCCATTTCTAATTTAACCTAAAAAAATTTAGGGTATTTTGAAAACTTGACCCATAACTACATTGCTTGTTCAAGATTCCAAAACGTATTATAGGCATCCTTAATAACACTCATTGAAAAACCACTCTAACAAAATCATCATACGACTTTGTTGATAAATTGGTTGACTTAGACAACGTTAATAGTTTTCTAAAAGTGTTGGTGGGTCTTATTCCCAAAAGAACTTAGTCATCCTGCAAATGATAACTTTCCCATAATTGGATAATTAGATTAGGCATCAGCCTCGACATGCATCTCGTATGATAAGGATATAAGAATCAAACAACTTTGAAGTCGCCCAATAATAGCATACATTTCCAGCTCTTTCTCTCTCTACGCCCGCCCCC